ACGAAATAAAATCTGAGCTGAATCCAGCTCCCATAACTCTTGCAGAAGGAGTTGAGTATAGGGCCATTATTGCTTTTCTTATATTCCCAAAAAGGCCAAAGGTTTGTAGGACCGCGTCGAGGAAGTCCCACTTGACCCTGTCAAATGCTTTCTCAGCATCTAAAGACAGGATCAGGAGGGAACATTTCCTCGACTGGGCCCAATCCACTACGTCTATAAGACGTCTGACATTATATACCGAAGAGCGTTTGGAAATAAAGCCCACTTGGTCCCTATGGATTATATCCATCATAATTCCATTTAATCTACTTGCCATTATTGAGGAATAAAGTTTTAAATCTTCATTCAATAACGAGATAGGTCTATAATTAGTTATTAACTCTGAAGACTTTTGTGGTTTAAGAATAGGAACCAAATTAGCTCTCAGCATCTCCGGCGGGATGTTACCTTTTAACATAAACTCATTAAATGTATCCCTCAGAATATTTGCTAAGTTTTCTTTCATAGATTTATAAAATTTATTTGTGAAGCCATCCGGGCCTGGAGACTTAGAAATTTTCAGTCTATCTATGGCTTGGTTGACCTCTTCTAAATTTATAGGTTCATTTAAATTTTGTAGTTGAAATTTCGCTATTTTTGGCAGATTTAAATTCTCTAAATATTCTAAGAGATTAACTGGAGAATGTCTGTCTGGAAGATTGTATAATTTAGTATAAAATGCTTGGAAAGCCTGACCTATTTTTGATGGGTTCAAAAGAACCTTATCTTCTTGAATGATTTTAGTTACCCTCATCTTGATAGAATCCTTCTTTAACCTATTCGAGAGTAATTTGTCCGCTCTATTCCCCCTATAGTACCATGTCCTTCGTAATTTTTCTAATGAGAAATTTGCTTTCTGAATTAGTAGATCGTTAATACTCTCTTTAATAATCGAGAGTTTTTTAGTAATATCTATAGATGGATTATTTTTATTTATATATTCTAATTGATCTAGTTGTGTATATATAGGTGCGTAAGATTATTTACCTTTTTTTTTTTCCTGAGACCCCATCTTAATGAAATGTCCTCGAATTGTACACTTATAGGCGCACCATATAGTAGGTAGTGGTAGGTCATCTTTAGTATTTTCCTCAAAAAATAAATTTGTAGTTGACTTAATTTGCCTTAGATATTCTGAAATACTTAATAGACGATCATTTAATCTCCAATTTGATCTGTTATCCTTCAAGCCATCATCCAGAATCATCATTACCGCATTGTGATCTGACCATGCAATGTTTTTAATAAAAACTTTTTTAAGCATTTTGGAGATGCTTGGATCTGAAATTATTAAGTCAATTCTGGAATAAACCCGGTGAGCCCCAGAGAAACACGTATAATCATGTTCCATAGGATGCAAAATCCTCCAAAGATCCAAAAGGCCCCTATTTTTTAACAAGTTACTAAAGGATTTAGCTGAGGTTTTTAGCTGTTTATTATACTGGTCGTTAATTAAGCTTCTCCTATCTAATTCTGGGTTAAGCATACAATTAAAATCCCCTAAATAGATTACCATACCTTGCCTATTTCTATCTACTATATCCATTAGTTTCCTGATAAACTTAATCGGGGCTAAATTTGGAGCATAAAGATTCACTATCGTATAGATCCTATTGTTTATTTCGCAAATTAATATATGGTATCTGCCTTCTGGATCCTGTGTTTGGTGAATAAATTTAAAAGCTAATCTAGAGGAGATGAGGGTCGCAACTCCTCTTTTTTTTTTTTTTATCGTATAAGGAGGAGGAAAAGATAAACGGATAATCTTTAGAATTTAATCGTGTTTTTCCTCTTTGCTCCCAATGTGTTTCTTGCAACCCGCAAATAGAAATGGACTCGTCTTTCAGAAATCTAAGAAGGATATTGCGCTTTTGTGGTGAGTTTAAACCTCTAAGGTTCAAAGTTACTATTTTTATCCTTGTTAATCCAATTTAGAGTTGAACAATCTCCCTTGTATCCAACTAAAGGGAGTAAACTCATCTTCCAAGAATCTAGAAAAGATGTTACAATTTTTGGTAAATTTACCCCCCCAAGGTTCAGACTTGCTATTTTTACCAAAGTTAATCCTATTTAGAATTGAACAACTCATGTGGAGCCAATCTAATGAGAAGGACCAGATATGACCAAACCATAACAAAACGACAACACGTACATAAAACATTAGAACCCCGTTGGCTCCCTACCCCTCCTCCCATGGGAGCCATCCCAAAACCCATTACTGATCGTAACCTACCCAAGGTATAGATCAATCAAACTCAACCGCGTTAGCGGTTGGAGGGAAGCAGAGGAGAATTATACCTAATTATCAACCCGAGAGCCTCATGAGTAAAAGCTCTAGAAAAAATGACAATAACAACTTAGTAGAAGTATCACCTCCTTACCCAAAGACTAGAATTTATAACCATCTTCCCTTACTATTTATCCAATACCATCCTAAGGGGCTTCCTGACTTTAATCAGCAGTGCATATCTCAGTGATTGATTTAAACTCAGTGCTATATATGATACGTATATTTAACGCAATTTAACAGTGATGTGAAATTTTTCTTATATCTGTTAATAATTTACCCTATTCATTTATCCGGGGTGTAAATCTTACATGTTCAAAAATTAAAAATCTAGTATGTAAAGTTGCTTATCTATTCCAATCCTAGAGAGACTTCGTAACTTTAGTCAGCCGTGCATATCTCAGTGATTAATTTAACTTAGTGCTGTATATATTATGTATAATTAACGCAATTAGACCATCCCGTGAATTTTCTTTGTATCTCATATTCATTTGCTCTAATATTTTATAGTGGTATTATATCCTGTTTAATCGTGTATTAGAAATCTGGTGTGTAAAATTATTTATATCCGTGTCATGTTGTGTTCCCCTGTGTAACATAATTTCAGTGTGTTTTAGCATATTCTATCTAACCTTATAATCTACTTTAATTTTCTACTTAATATCCATATTTCGATTTTCGATATGTGTCCTTAACTTAGCGTTACCCTTGCAGTTTTGCAGTTGCTTGTGGTACTTCATATTCCCCTTAAATGTTTTTGGTTGGACTATCTAGGGTTTATCTAGCCCTGTTTCGAAGACACACCATAAAAACAAAAAAAAACAAAAAAAAGAGAGAGAAAATTTTTTTAGATACCCTCTCCCTCCATCATCCGTTAGATCCCCAATCTAACTTTCATATCAGATTATTTGTTAGTAACCATTGGTGTAACTTATCCACTTCTTTAAAGGCTTCTAGATTGTCTTTATAATAGAACTTTAACCCCGTAGGGAATAACCATGTGTAGCTTATGTTATGATCTCTGAGCTTGCCTGTGCAAGTTAGGAATTTCTTCCTTGCAGTTCTAGTGGCCAAAGATAGGTCATTAAAGCATTTTAGCTCTTCAAATTTTGAGTCCTTTAAAGGTTTCAACCTTAGGGCTAGGTTGAATTTGGTCTTCAGGGAAAGAGAGTGAAAACTTGCAATGACTTCTCTTGGGATGTGTGCTGGTAGGCTTCTTGCTTTTGGCAGTCTATGTACATTCTCAAATATAATTGGAATATTCTGCAACTGAATATCTAGAAAGTTTAAAAGCTCAGTCAGATAGGCAATCAGCATTTGGTTGGATATATTCTCCGGGATTCCTCTAATCCTAATATTTCTCCTCCGTGACCTGTCTTCCCAGTCAACCATCTTAGCTTCCAGGATATTTATTTTCTGCTCCAAGGAATTAATTTTGTCTTCCATGAGGTTATTTCTAAGCATTGAACATTCCAATTTCTCTTCCATGGATGTAATCCTTATGTTTACTTTCTTTATTTCTTCTTTAAAGGTCGTGGTAAAAAGTTGCATCTCACCTTTTATCTTTTCCATTTGTGAGTCAAAACAATTATTAAGAGTGACTCTATCAATGTTAAGGAGGTCACTTGGAGGGGAATTAATGTATGAGTTTAGACCATTTGTCTCCGTAAGGCTAGTGTTCACCATGTCTTCTTCTGAAGGTTTAATGGAGCCCACTTGGCTTAGTCTCCTGTCCTTCTCTTGAGCAGAGAAGTAATTTGACAAGCGTTTATCAGATTTTAATTCAGCCTTAGATTCAGTTTTAGAGTCAACTTTTTTATCTTTGTCCTTCCTTGTATTTATTTTATTCTCACCCTTTTTTGCCGCCATGTTTCTAATTTACTTGGAGGGTAAAGACAATAGATGCGATTATATGCTTATAGATGCGCAAAGTATGTCAAGTTATCTCAGCTGTTCAAGCTATTCAAGCTATTAAGCTAGTAGGTTCGTAGGCTTCCATATCTTTATCCTTGCTCAGACATTAGCCCTCACGCTTTTCACTTTTCAAGTTCACCATTCGAAGTTCACCGTTCCGGGTTCACAATGACTCCAGCCACATTCATAAAGAAACTTTGTTAGTTTTAATTGTCCCCAAAGAATAAACTTCTGTAGTGAATTTTAGTAAAAATTAGTGGAATTTAGTAAAGTCCTATATTTAGAAATTGGATTAGTGCTTCAAATTTCTTTGAGTTCTTTAATACCTTTAATAGCTTTAATAAGTTTTTAATTAACCTTAGAGGAGCTTTGAGGAACTTTAAGAAGCTATGGATTACGGAGCTCTGGTGCTTTAATTAGCTTTAATTAGCTTTGAGTACGCCTTAATGAGTTTTAAGAAGCCTTTAGGAGCTTTAAAAGCTTTTCAGGCTTCCCAGACTTCTCAGAGTTTTAACAGGGTTTTAACAAATCCAACTTTTTACTTTGTCACCCATTTCCCACTTCTAGCTTCGCCTGACTTCGTTTGTTCACAGTTCAGACTACGTAAATCACATTTCGGCTGGCCTGATCATGAAGGCAGAGAAAAAAAAAAAAAAAACCCAGCGAAAAAAAAAAATGTCCAAACTGAGCTAATATTAAATTGGCTTTCAATGTAAGATTCTACATTCAGTTGATAGATCTTATCATACTGCAGTATACCTCACATACCATGCTGTGCTTCTTGAATTCTGTGCGATAGGAGATAGAGATATCTATCTAGAGATAGGGAGGGGCGCCCGACAGCCTCTCTGTATTTTTCCAAGTTGCTGCGCAGTTTCAGCGTTACAGCGTTGTAGCGTTTCAGCGTCCCTCTCCGTCTCCGTTTTGCTCCCTTGCTCCCTTCGTTCCCTTCGCTCCGCTCCGCTTTACCACCAATCTCGCTTGATCCTCGCATCCGCAGTGTAATTAGCCGCAATGTGATTAGCCACTGCGATCGCTCATCTCATCTCATCTCATCTCATCACATTCAAGCGCGGGCTCAGGGGTCGGCAGCATCCATTACCGCTTACTTCCTCCTCCTCTGCTCCTCTCGTCCGCGCGACGTCACCACGTGCACATCACGTCATCGCTCCACCCCCTACTGTAACATTGTTATGTATATTTAATTTGTTGATAAAATTTTGTAAGGATAGTTCAGTGCCTTACCACATAAAAAAAAACAGGTCATCTATGTAGCGGCGATAGGTAACCAGGCCCTCCACCCAGCCAACATTATGATTAATGAATTGAAGTTCCCAATGGGCCATGAACAAATTGGCATAGCTGGGTGTGAACCTCATCCCCATTGCCTTCCTACAGGCCTGTAGATAAAAATCCCCATTGTACCAGAAATAATTGTTAGTTAAAATTAAGTAATTAACACTAGTGCCACCAATGGTTTTTAAACTATTTGCCCACAGACTGCTAGAGTTGCCAGTGTGCAAATAGTACTCGAAATTATCATCCACGTGCATGAAAGCAAGTGAAAATTAGTTGTGAATGTGCATCTTGCTGGATGCATTCTGTCCTGAATTTTATTAATACCAGTGCTTTAGAATGTTCAGAGCCACATATATATATATATATATATATATATATATATATATATATATATATATATATATATATATATATATATATATATATATATATATATATATATATATATATATATATATATATATATATATATATATATATATATATATATATATATATATTGCCATCCTGATGAAAGCCCATGTACCTGAAATATCAATGCTTTTTTTAATGATATCAATTAAAAGTTACATTTTATTATAACCAACAAAAGTCCTTAGAGTGCAGTCATATGTGTGTGTGTATACACACACACACACACACACACACACACACACACACGCCAATAAAGGTTCTTTATGGTCAGTTACAAGGATCTCCATAATAACAGAAACAAACAAAAATAGTGCAATATGAAATAGAGTAGGAGTTAAGCCATTATATATCAAAAACTCACTTACAAGAGCTACTTAGAACTCTACTGTAGTCAGCATGGATAGTACAATCCCCATCTTAGGATGCATTTTGATCAAAGATGATGATCTCCACATCCATTGGTAGCACAATATGTAAAGACAAAAATGAAATCCAATGGCATAGTATATTGTTGTAAATAATAACAACGTATATAACCAGGAAAGGTACATCAGATCACTCTGGTTTCCAAGTAAGTGTAGTCTGTGAGTCTTATATGCTTGTGTATGTGTAGCCAGTCTACAAGCCCGAATATGCGTGTGTGCAACCCTGTTTTTGTGTGTCTGTCTGTTTATGCCTTTCTTTGCTTGTCTGTTAATCTGTATTTATGTATGCATCTGTCAATGTGTGTGCATTTTAATGTGTGTCTGTAAAGATCAAACTGAAAGTATGATATAGTGTGTGTGTGTGTGTGTGTGTATGTGTATATATATATATATATATATGTATATATATATATATATATATATATATATATATATATATATATTGCAGATGTAAACAGGTAGAAATTATTAGGGACCAGTTGTTTGGCTTTGAGGCTTGTTTGTCTTGGGCTCAAGTCCTGGGAGATGTTGGATTCTAGCAGCACCCATGATTAACAACACTGTATGAACAGACAAGAAAATGATTCAAACACAAACTGCAAGCAAAGTGTTTATTCAAAATACTGAATTGCAGTGAGCTGAGACCGAATTGCAACATTTCCGGTAAAATAACAAATTGTAATTATAAAGTTGGAGAATTTTTCTAAATTAGCCATTTTAGCCTGACTGTTGCAATCCAGTTTTCAATTTACTACACTTTGGTATTTAGTCAGTGAATTACTTTGGCATATCTATATTTATACTACTAATTTTACAAAATATCACCTTGACTTGTACAGGAATTTGAAGTACATCCGTTTGCGGTAATTCCATATCATTATAATTCAGCCTTGCTTCTTTTTTGGCTCTTTAATGCTTGAAATCACTAACTTTCTTTAATGTGGCATGAACATAAACTACATCATTCTTTCAAGGTTTTCTTTTAGGTTGAGGAATCGTAAAAATCAAAAGAAGATAAAACATTTTCTTAAAATTTAGCAAACAGATGTGAATTTATTGCTTCATGTAGATAAGATAATAATTTTTATGGTGAAATGTTCATTGGATTCCTAAAATTTTAAGGTGTTGAGTCAAATGTTTTGGAAAATGTACTCCTTTACTGGATGAAAAGCACAAGCTGTGGCATTCCAGTATTTAACATCTATACATTTTAAAAGAACTTTCTATAATAGAGTTGAATATAGTTTGTAATTTACCTGGAGATCATTTGTAACCAAAATGCAATTTGTTGTAATTTGGGCAGATTGGGTGATTGGAAGAAATTTCAATTTCCAAACCATTACTTGCCAAAATCTTGAGGAACTGAATGGACGTTTTCATTTATGATTTGGAGTGCTGTTCCTGACACCACAAATAGGGGGATTTATTGGAGAAGAGGTTGTTTATTTTGGTTGACTTGGGGCAAATAATCAGCTTAGTTTCCCATGATAGACAAGTGGTCTGGATCTCCTGTCAAATCAAGGGTGGAAAATAAAGATGATTGGTGGATAGGGGACAACCACTAACAGGTTTATTCACTAAACACCAAGTGGAAATTACGGAATTCCGACCGCAATGTTAATTCTCATATTTACGAAAGTCAAATATGGTGGTAATTTGTGTATGTGTCTATTGAATAAATCAATAGTATTAACAGGACTTGGAAATGGAACTTAAGGGTAAAAATAGCTTGATGAATTGTAAAATATAAATGTATCAGTTAATCCGATCAATACCTCCCATATACAAGGGTAGGGGAAACCGAGAATCGCTGAAAAAATAATATAGTAATGGTTCTAAAACACCAATGTGAGAGAATCTATACAAATTAAAATAAAATAAATCAGAAAATGGATAAATGACTCTTACCCCCTTAGGGAGTTAAAAGTCCTTGAAATAGTGTCAATTATACAGTGCAGCAGACAGAGTGCTTATTACAGATGATTTTATTGGCACATTAATACTGTCAGTACAATGTGTGTGTGTATATATATATATATATATATCTCATAAGTAAAATATCAAAATGTCCCAAGTGAAAAAAAGTAAAGAGTACCAGGTATGTAGACTGAGGGTCCAATATTGTTCGTAACTCTCTCTCACCGGCCGGATAAAAGTGAGTGTGGACCTCCTCGTGCTGTATCAACACTGGCTGTGAGCCGCGTGCGTTCCACTCTGGCTCTGGATGCGTTCCAGTCTGCTATCACTTGGGAATCTGTGTAGCATGCTACCTTACGCATTTCATGATCATAGGATCACTTCATCAGAGCATAGCATCCTGAATTCTTCACTCTATTATATACCATTCAGTCTGATCATCATACTCCATAATTAACCCTTCATGTGTTAGTACATTCTAACGTATATCTAATCAGGGACTTTATCTCATGCATACATCTAAATAGTATAATTAATAGATCTAAAATGTTGTAAAACTACATACAAATAAAAAAGCAAATAATATACAAATTAAATTATTGACTTAATGTTAACATGCTCACTGTGTTAAGTCTCCTAAATACCCTATATGGAAGGTACGATCACATAGAGCAACCTTCACATCACAAACGGCATTATGATGTTTAAAAAATGGTAAACCAAAATTACTATATGAGAATACCTACATTTATAAAAAAGAAATAGGAAGGGTCTCTGATAATAGTGTGCTTTCCACAGTTTGTGAATAAACAATTCTTACATCAGAATTACACAGAACACATTACTTAATAGATCCCCTACGTGATGTGACATATAGAAGATACTTTGTTGCAAAAAATAAAAATGTAACAGAATCTAAATACATTCCATATTAGATACATAATATTAAAAAACATGCAATACAAAATATTGAAAAAGATGTAATGCAAAATGCATGACTCCGTATCTGTTATCATAAACCCATTCATTTATCTATTAAAAATCACAATCTTCATTAAAATGTAATCTGAAAAACATTAATACATTTGTTAGTAATCTTAATTTTTGTTGTAATCTTAATTGTTATTAATTGTATGCTTAAAATCTTCTATACACTTATACATCCAATATGTGAGAAACAGTTAGGAGTCAAAGCAAGGGTTAAATGGAAAAAACACTCATACCTTAAATTGCGTGCCCTCTAAGGAGCAGGCAATCATTATATGAAAACTGCTTCCATTACAAATAGATTAAACAGATTAAATAAAGTCATACCTCTAGACGTGGTCTCAATTGAAAAATAATAATATCTCACCCTAAGTTAGGGGCCAAATTCATTTCTCAACTGGAGACACATTAACTGGAGGCACATTATGTGTCTCCAGTTGAGAAATGAATTGGGCCCCTAACTTAGGGTTAACTACACAGATTCCCAAGTGATAGCAGACTGGAACGCATCCAGAGCCGCAGTGGAACGCACGCGGCTGACAGCCAGTGTTGATACAGCATGAGGAGGTCTGTAACGGATCGCCTGGCACCCCGACTGGGTACCTCCGTTGAAGGATGCTCCTAGCGCTTCCTGAGGACTCCAAGCACTCTGGCAGACAACACAATCACCTAACCGGAGAAACAAATAAATTCTCCCAAGCATATGAATGCTGTAGACAGTTGAATAGGAACCATACGAATAGGTTTACTCTCCTAGCAGCCAAACTGGAACAGCATACAATAAATCCTTCCCCCAATAATGAGACGACACTTCACTTTGAGGGTTAAGCAGGAACTCCCTGTACTGTCACATACAGTCTCTTTTATTCCCAATCCACAAACATAGTACAGCCCACAGGGCGTTACAAAACAGCCAATCAATCCATACAATACACCCAGACACTCCCACACA